ATGTGAAAAGTGGAATGTTTAAGTACGAGTTAGTATATAAGTAAAAGAGATTATGGTGTAGAAATGCTAGTTGTGAATGTTATGTTGCTAGTAATAAGTTGGGTGATGCATGTTCTATGTCTGGTTTAATGTGTTTGATTGCCTATTGTTTCCAAGTATTAGAGTTGTTGTGGGTAGCAATCTCACTGAGTAATTTCTTCCCGGAATTACTTATGCCTCTTTTTCCCTTTTAGTTTGTGCAGGTATGTTGCTTGTTGAGCAAGTTAGGGCACGAGACCTAGGGCTCAAAGTGATCAGGGATTGGGTGTCACAGAATAGCAGATTATACCACTTGACAAACGAGACTAATCTCGGAAAACATATACAATCTCATCCAAAAAGAAAGAAATACGGAAAAATGGATAAGATTAGGCTAATTCTATATGTCGCCCAAGCCCTTGACTCCGACTCGAACAACAAAGGGGGCAATGGTTAGGGATAAAATATTTTTTTATGGGTTAAGCGAATCACCTAACACCACGGTGGGACCCTTTACACCTTAGATGAAACTTATTTTTCATCGAAGGACCTAGAGAGGTTTGGGCCTAAGTTTACGGAGACTTTGACTAATAGATGAAGATGTTCCGATCTAAATGGAGACTCAGGATAGTGCACATCAAGCATTTGAAGGGTCGGAGTCAGATATTGCCATCTGGAGACAAGCACGTGGCCTGAATTCTCGTATCAAAAACTTAGGCTATGTAAGAAATATATTTTATCTCGCGCTAAACTCGAGTTTTTCTTTAATTTAAACGTCTATTCAAAAGGGTAAAATTATTTGTTCTCTATAAAATACATTAAAATAATACAAGAATATTGTTCATCATCTTTGTTTCTCCGACATATCTTTTGAACATATTAGTTCGGAGTTTATGTTATCAAGTACCCTTCAAGTTGGCTATATTATGCGTTTTAGTTTTAGTATATCTATATCCTTAATATTAAACCCCAATATTATATGGTGAATTGTCCACATAGTTTATGGCTTTAGTGAAGAAAAGTGTTCTCTTTCTTTTCTCTTATTCAACTACAGTTCAGAGGC